GTCTCTGGGTAGCGAGTCAGAATCGAGTCTTGAGCTTCTGAGGTGCGAGACAAAGTTGAGTCTCTGAGGTGGTAGTCTAAGTCAAGTCTTGAGTCTCCAGTATGTACAAGTCTGAGTTGAGTCCCAAGTCTTTTGTAGAGTGTTTCAGTCTCATTATCAGCTGCACTTGTCAGGTTTGACATGATGTAAAATAATAAACACAAAAAGTGCTACAGGCAGTAAATACTGCTCAAAATAAGGCAAAACAATTTGAAACAGTTGATTAGTCCGTAGCTTGTTTGCTAGCTGTCATAATAGCTAATCTAGCTAAAGTTCAGTGATTTTTTTTAAGTAATGTTATCTGAAACATACAAAAACTTTGGCTAGATTAACTGACAACTAATACTAAGTTAGCTATTGCAGCTTTTGTCTCTTTACTTTAAAGGCCACTTCTACTGTGTGTAGCACTTCATTCTACCCTCCAGACCTTTTCTATAATGAAAAGCTCACTATGTGAAGCCATATAGAACCTGATTCTGCTGAGCTGTAAAGAGAACAACATTACGGAAATTCCTGCTGTTTATATTTTCTGATTTCTACCTCCAGGCCACAGTTGTGACAACTCTTGGGTGAGTTTAACTACCTTGCCACTTTAGAGTAACACCCACGTTTTCACACTTTCCCTTTTCCAAAAAGAATGGCTTATACTGGAATGTCATAGAAAAAAAAAAGAATGCTGATGGAAAAAAAAGGAAAAAAGAGCATCGCAGCAGTGATTACAACTGACAAGTCACTAACGTTAATTTACTACAATACCCATAATGCAATGCCTTGAACAATTCAATTTTAATGTGTTCTGAATTCAATCCGTTTTGTTTGTTGCTTTTTTCCTCCGGCTGAAATTTTGTGAGTCATAAGTCTCTGAGTCAAATCACGAGTCATTTAAATGTGTGTCTGAGTTGAGGCCGAGTCAAGTCTCAGTCAGATAAAAACGTGACTCGAGTGTGACTCAAGTCCGAGTCACTGACACGAGTCCCCATCTCTGGTCACAGCTGTTTTGTAAATGTTTACACATATACATAATGTTAGGAAGCTAGCCCAGGGACATGAGATTGCAGTGTGTGTGTTGTGTGCATTTGTGTGGTCATTCCTGTCTGGATGGGGAATCTGAGGTGGTGTTATCCACTATGCCTTCCATTATAGTGACTGTAAAACTAATGGAAACGTCCAACACAAGTGACTATAAATTATGCTAAATGCTGTATATGCACCAAAAATTGGCTCTTATTTCAATAATTAAATTTCCTCATTTTTTGGCAATATATCATCCATCCACCGACATATTGTGCACCCCTATCAGCATGGTGGTCTTAAGTCTTAAGAAATCAACCAAAGGGGATACAGATTTTTTTATCCCTTTATGAAACAGCAGGGAGGGGCAAAATTGCATGTACCATCAGTGATCTTATCTACACTCGAAACCCAGGGCCGTGATCCAGTAGAGGATAAAGGAGAATTCCTTCGGATTCATTTCTATATCTTTTGCACAGCCCAAAGTCCAAGAGTGCCAATTTTGGCTGGACGTTCCAGTCAAGCCTGTTTATAGTGACCATTCTTAACATTATTTAGAAGGAGCACTTCAAATATACACATACACAGTCATCATTCGATCAGATGAATCGGATGTACGTTGTGAATCTGTCAGATCTACTGCCTGAGCCCCAGCCGGTCGGCCGCTGCCGCAGCACGGTGCTTCAGCTATAATAATAAAGCAACAACAATAAGTAATAGTCTAATAAAACCGAATTGCCTCATCATTCGCTGACTCATGACTGTGTAAATCTACAAAGACGATTTAAAGGCAATGGCGTATCAGTCTCCTAAACTCCTTCTACCCGAATGGCCTCGGCTAGACGTGCCTTTGAGTCATCGCTGTCACAAAGACAAGGGCAGAATCATCCTCAAAGCCATTGTTTTATTCTTTTTTGGGCTGGCTTTGGCAGACAGCGATAGTTACACGAAGACAAATCTGCCGGCTTGACTTCCTCTCTGAGCTGACGGAGTCTTAGAGCAGGTAAGCTATAAATCCAGCACCTCTGACAGCAAAGCGCTAACGGCTAGCTTCGCACATAGCCCTACATGCCTGTTTGCTTAGCCAAAACCAGCCAGTGTAATAACAGGCATAAGGAATTACACCTGAAAGCTGAGCAGATGGCTGGTTTGGTTCTCAATCAGATGTTATTCTGCCTCGTGGCAGGCAGCAAACACAGCAGGAAGCAGTGCTAAATTAGCATTCCAGTAAGCTAAATCGTTTGCTAAATTACAACGGCCGCAAAATCATTTGCTTTCTTGTTACAGGTCACCCTGAACAGCCCCAGGACAGGCTGAGGTTCACTGGAAGAGGTTTGATTGGATCATATGATTTAGCCAAGGCAGCTTAAACTCCAGATGCACAGGTGTCATTCAAGTAATTTGTAAGAAAGCGTTAGCGCTACAACCTCTAAGTGGACTAATTGACTAATGACAAATTGGGTCATTCTACAGAAACGTCTACTTTTCTATCTCTCCATAGGAGTCACTGGTGTTACTGGTCCTCATTGGTGTTCCACATAATAAAGGAACACCAGAGACATTTTTAATGAACAATGCATTTTACAAAATGGCTGCTACAGAACATCAAACCACATGTTGTCAATCATGGAATATCCACCAAAATATGGAATTTAATCCATTTGTATTCTATTTTTTCACAGTTACCTCAGAATAAAGTCGGTCACACCAGTGACTTCAGCTAAAAGCTTCATATGAAATCATGAGCTAAATGAGAAAATCTCTGATAACTGAAAGACACAGTGGACTCACCATGTGCTTTTCTTCATAGATCCTCAGAAAACAGGTAAAAGGAAGTCAAGTGATGTCATCAGTGTGACTTTTATTTCAAAATAAGAGATTTTTTTGTTACGCAGTAACACCAGTGACACGACTCCTGGGGACAACAACTTTCATTATATATTTTATAATATTTATTTGTCATTTGTTTTCTTTATGTTATTTAAATCATATATTTCACAGTCATGTATAGATTATTGCAGTTAAAATTGCAGAAAAGCACGTCTTTTCTTCAAAATATGGCCTCAGCTTTTACACATGACTGTGAGGACGAGCTCTTCTGTGGTGCTTGGAATTCTATATGATTGATTTAAAAATCAATATTGCTAAATTGAGGCTCAAGAAGGTGTAACTGTTAAAACTTACTGTTTTATTTTAAAACATAAATAAATTGTAACCCTAACATGTTTTTGAAGTGTAATATATCTATAAACGCTATATCTGTAGAATGACCCAATTACTTTATGTCTTTACCTGTTCATTTATTTCTACTAGTGAAGTGGGCGATTTCATGATTGGGGTGCCGTTCAGTTCTTGCAGCTTAAAATGAAACATAATTTTTTTGTTATTTTTCAACACAGAATTAAAGAAAACATGCTTGTAACCTTTCCAAACTGTGTTATACATGGAACAATATGTCAGGTTTCTTTGCTGACGGTGGCTCAATATCATTGTCACTATTACAAGTACAGAGAAAATGTACTGCTTTTTTCCATGATCTTCTGGAAATATAGATAATGCAACTTCCTGTTGAACATGTGAACTTGTAGAATATGTCATAACAGGGCTGAGTGAATGGGGCACTAAAACGTATATTTTTCATAACTATAATAGACGACTTGAGAAAATGAATGTTTCAAACATGAGAAGTTAAATGAATTTACACATTAATGCAGGACAATACCTGTTTTAACGGATATATTTTAAGGTACAGCATAGTTATAGTGGGCTGGGACAGCCAAAAATGTGCTGTAAATACATTTTTATCAGTGTTTTTATAGAGTTATTTATCTGAGACATCCACACAGGTTGTTGTAAAGAACACTTTACATACATATTCCCTATATGTCCAAAAGCTTGCAGACTCCTGCTCATTCCCCATTTCCTGAAATAAAGGGTTTTTTGCCGCAATAATAGTCTCTACTCTTCTGGGGATGCTTTAACATTGCTATGAGGATCTGATTGCATTCAGCCACAAGAGCATTAGTGAGGTCAGGTACTGGTGTTGGATGTTTAGTTTTGGATCACAAACACCGCTCCAGCTCATCCCACAGGTTAAATGGAGCTCCATCACTCCAGAGAACGTAGCTATACCACTCAATAGTCCAACCCTGGGGAGCTTTATTCCTCTCTAGCTGTCGCTTGGCATTGGGCTTGGCGATGTTCGGCCCATGTGCGGCTACTCCAGAGCATCCCATTCTACTGCCAATGCTTTTCTATGCAGATTATACAAGCTGTGTGTACATCTGAACACCTGTGTCAGCAATGGGTGCACCTTAAAGAAGCTGAATTCACAAATTAGCAGGAATGTCTGAATACTTTTGGAAGTATAATGTATGTAAACAAAATATGAATGGGAAACAAATGGCACTCCAATTGTAAAATCACCCAATTCTAGTTTATACTGAAGGTATTCCTGCAGAAGGAACTCTGGACCATGTAGCTAGTAGTTAGTTTAACTGAATGTATTGTTGTGAAATGTACAAGATAGTAATGAACAAGGTGGGATGAAGTTTGTAAAGATTGTTTACAGAAAATCTACTGTAAACACTTCAGATGACACTTATAAAACTTACGAAACCTAAGCACGTGATGTGCTATAAATTGTAGCCAGCCACTGTTTTCTGATGCTATGTTTGTCATTGATCTTATTAGCCTTAGGGGCATGATTAGTCACCTTTAGGTAAAAATCAGGCCTTTTTTATTGACTAAGAATATCCATACAGCCCTAGTTAGCAAGTAGAGAGCTAAGAGGCTTGAGATCTGACTGATACACGTGGTATATTGCCCTTTCTGTAAGAATGGCCACTATAGCAACCAGATTTCACAGACTTAACTGCACACGCCAGGTTGTGGCTCCTCATATCCAAGACTGAACCTGGCCCGGGTTTCGTAAAACCCCATGCACTTACCCCTGGAGATCCTACCTGGAATCCTTGGACAGTGATGCGCACCGTGTCCCCTACCTTTGCCCTGGTCGGGGTCATCAGGAGCTTGGGGCCTTTCGGAGCCGCTGCGGAGAAAAAGAAGAGCAAGAAAAAGAGCAGATCAACAGATCGTCATCCCTGCTGAAGTTGGATGGCAGTCATTTTTGCCCACGAGTATTATCAATTAAGGTCACGGTCTTGGACATCGAGGTCATTGTTGGGGACTCTGGGGATTCCTGCTTGCTTTCATCTGAGAAGCTGAAGAGGATTTATTCCCCGAGAGAGACAAGGAACTAAATTGGGTAGATACTCATTACTGGAGGAGAAACAGAGCGTGTGAGGCAGAGTGTGGAGGTAGTGAGATAAGAGACAGTCCGAGAACTAATTCCCTTGTCTTGTACGGACGGAAGCCCCCAGATGGGTTTAATTTGGTCCCTGAGAGAGGCTGAGTGTGGAGACAGAGTCATATTGTGACCTTCCGAGACACCGAGTGATTTCTCCTGTGTACACAGCGGGGAGATAAGTCTCAGGTTCTGCCTGTGTCATGAAAGCGAGAAGCTCGGCTAGCTTCAAGCGGAAACTCCCACCGGCCGCATGGTCACGGGGTTTTATGGGAAAGGAGACTGAAAGTTATTGAGGGCTCCAACTGGCACAGCTTTAACTGGTTCTGCATCGTTTGCCATGATCGCCAATTTCCACTCACAGACCACATCACATCTCACAAAAACGAGGTTTGTGGACCATATGCTAGCGCTAATACATAATTCCAAGGCTGAGCTTGGTAAATAGGGATTGGCTTTGAAAGTGTATGGAAAAAAAAAAAATCATCTCCCATTGCGGCCTTTCTTTGGCTGCTAGTCTCAGTGAAGATGATCCAACTGTTGAAAAGTGTTGGAGACAATGGCTAATCACTCTTTCAGTCATCAATCAAGTCGCATTCCCGTCCGGCAAAGCTAATGAGGCATCTTCCGGTTTTAGTCAGTTTAACGATTACGCCCTGCCGCTGCCTAATGGATTATGATTTCCACGCTCACATCTGTAATGGCTCCTGAGAACGTGGCTTTCACACATAAATCAAGTCATGGGCAAGACACCACACGAAAATATGAAGAACCCCTTTTAGAAGGTCCTGTTTTTCTTTTTTCATTAGAGAAACGAGTTCCGATATTAGCAGCGGACGGACTGGCGAGAGGGATTTTGAGAGGCGATACACGGGAGAGATTAAGAGCTTGTCGAGACATGAATCACGAGTCGATGACTCCATCGATTTTTCCCTAAGAAAACTGTTGAGAAACACAGGCAGGGCATTGATATGGATGGTGCTCCTGATGGAAGGAACAGGCACTGAGAAACTGACCCCAGCTTTTTTTTTTTTTCCCTGCATCAAGTGGCTGAATTAAGGGATCAATAGCTCCGGATCGTCTATCCTGAGCCTCCGCATTGAAGGTGAGAACAAGTCGCTAGCCTGTGATATTTACTCACTACGCCGCGTTTAGCCCACAGCCCTGCCAGCTCCGGCCATCTGCGGCCATACATCACAGCATGGCCCGCACCTACGGGGGTATTTCTGAGTGCCGCTTGTGACAGAAAGCGTCATGGAGAAGCTGGCTGTCGAGGATGGAGATGATGCGATGCTCAGGAACGGTCCGGGCCGCCGTCCAGCAGGAACAGTTGGCAGCTCGCGTCATCACCTTTGATTACGGCGACGCATTCTGCCACGGATCCGCCGCGGAAAACAGGGGGAGGGGAGCGCCACGGCCCAAGGTTAACGACCGCCACTGAACACAGCAAGCAGCACACACTACCATTTAAAAGTTGGAATCACCACTCAGTGGTTTGATCTATATTTTCAAGTACTGTGAAAGATACATGTATAAAGTGACACCAGCACCATGTCCAGAATGATGAACAGACTTGGTTCTGGATTTTTCTAAAATCAGAGAAAGAAAAACACAATAAAAGTTATAATAGAACTAATATTCAGATACCTTGCACTTGCAAAGTAAATCAAATGAAGTTTTCAATATTACAAGCCCTTTTTTGTTGAAGGTACATTTGTAAAGTACCGTTATATAAATATGTGTATAATAATATGTTCATACTGTGCAGCTGGGTTTCAAAGAATTAGTGGTAAGCTGTAAAACAGTGATTTAGAATGTTAAACAGAGCCTGTAGGTTGTTCTGACATGAATTAAAAGGCTGTAAACATCTTAAAAATAATGTACAATAGAATTAAAATGAAGAATGCCTGATATTTCAAAATATAAAATAAAGTAAAACAAGATAATTATAAGTTATATTAGTACAATTATCGTTTAGCTGATCTAATTGTAGTCAGGCTAAATTATATAAGCTACTGTTTATATTTCAAAGTAAGAATTCTATTTATTTATCTAAAATTTCTGTGTTAGGATGTAAACAAAGTCATTCAGAGTGGTTTGGTGTGAAATGGTTCATTCCAGAGAAAATTACAGAGTCTGGATAGTTTGCAGTGGTGGTGATAGGAACCAGACGTCCGAAGTTTTCTAATGTCTCTAAAAGCTTCATCATAGAACATTATTACATTTATATGGCTATAGATTTAAATGCTTGATAACTAGCACAGTGTTTTAAGACAGTTTTGAACTGAAAGAGTGTTTTAAGGCAAAAAAGTCTCCAAAGGAAACACGCTTTTCTCAGATTTATCATCTTCAACAGTAAACTCCGAAGACTTGAGCAGGTTCACTGGCCATTTGAATGGTAAATAAACTGACTATGTTTACTCTGCAGACATCACAACCCCTGGTTCCCAAATCTGAGCTTCTCTATATCATCATTGCACATCAAACAACTCTGAATGACACTCAATGATCTCAACCAATGCATATCATAGAAGATAAAAAAACAAAATCATATAAAATGACCCACATTTTTAATACAACAGGTGATTCCAAACTTTTGACTGGTAGTGCGGAACCGAGCAGAGAGCTCGACCCAGCTTGGCCTAAAGCCTTCCTGATGAACACAGCTGGCCAATCTTCCTGTCCTTATTTGATCCTGTCCACTCGACCAACTGTGCCCCGGCCTAATCTCCCGCACATTACCTTTCAGAACATACTGTCAGAGTGGATTAGATGAGGCTGAATGTGAAAGGGATTGTCTCGTCTAATTTATGGGGATGGTCCTGAGGATAAAGGTTTATGGCTGAATGAAAGGAAGCAGCTTTAAACTGGTTGATAACAATAAAAAAGCACACTGTCATCTACAGGATTCTGGAGTTTAAACACAAAAAACATTCACACACATACTACCGTTCAAAAGTTAGAAATATACAATCATATTTCATCAAAAAAAAGAACAAACAAACAAAAAATATCTTCAAAATGGCAACTTTACAGGAAAAGGCAAAAACATTCTTAACTTTTAATGCAAGTTAATGAAGAGAGATTTAATTCTAAGCAGTTTTGTCACATTTCTATTGGTCCATTCATCATTAAATGTTAACAAAATGGAAACGACAGCTGATTCGCTCAAATGATATAGAAAAAAATGGTAAAAAATGTAAATACTTGTTTTTTTTGGACAGTGACAATATATAACTAGATAAACTAGATAATAATCAATACTATAAACTAGCCACCTAAAGGTTGACGTTTCACTAAATAACATATTATAGTGAATACACATTTTAAATGAAATAATATAGTGTAATTATTATGTATTAAAGGAAAATTCCACCTACTATTCAAAATTTCTGCCTAATCCAAATGTTGAGATGTAAACAAAGTCGTTCAGAGTGGTTTAATGTGAAATGGTTCATTGTAGAGAAACTTTCTTTACAGTGGTGGTGAGAGGAACCAGGGGTCATGATGTCTACAACATAAGTACAGCCATTTTGTTCGCTGTCCAAAACCACCAGTGAACCTACACGTGTCGTCTGAGTTTATATGGGATGTTGATGATGGTAAAATAATGTTAAAACTGAAAAATGTTTTCTTTGTTTGAATGTACCTCTCCAAATGCCAGTGCTGCTCTCAAAACCACAGTAAAACGTCATTAGCAATGTGTTTGTAACTATTTCATGTAAAAACATTTACATTAAAATGCTTTGGATGTCTGGTTCCTATGACCACTGCTGTGTCTCGGCAAGTTTGGAGCATTTCCCATCAGACCACTGACCTTGTTTACATATTACAATGGAAAAAAAAAAAAAAAATTATTAGCTAAATTCTATTTTAGCTAGTTAAACCATTTTAAATATTGCCAATATAACATACATTTCTCATTTTGAGACTGGTATGATAATATTATGAAAGCTGCAAGGTTATTTAAACTTGTTTTAAACTTTTTAAACTTGTTTTAAGTGGTTTTGTCTTATGAAAGTGTCTCATTTTACTCAAGTCAGTCATTATTTCATGAAGTAAGCAAAATTAACTGCATTATTGCTTGAAACAAGTAACTTGTCAAGGTAATACAACACTTTAACTAGATAAAACTACTAGATAAAAAGTAAAATGTGCAGAAATAAGTTAAATAATATTGTTACAGTAATTTCATAATGAGAAATATTTTGCATATTCACTACATTTAAGATGTTTTCACTTGCTAAGATCTCATTTTTGTAGTATCATGACCTCATAATGCTGACATCTAAAAAAAAAACTGGTAGAATTCCCCTAATATTTATTGCCTTATCTGCCTTCAGCACTTTTGCAATATGATCCGTTCTGAATATTAATTTTGTAATAACTTCATTCACACTGGCTGTGTTTACATGCAAAGATTTTTGTCAATCCAATTGAATACAATCCAATTATAGATTAAGACTGAGGTGTTTATATTACACTCTACTCAACAATCTCATGAAAATCTGTTTACATGTTCACGACAAGTAATCAGATCGAAAATGATGAGCATGCATAGAGAACTACTTAGTGTGGACGTTACCATGACAACCAGCATCACGTGAGTCCAGTCAGAGTGAGATGAGCAGCAGTGAGCAGCGCTTGTGTTTTTAACTGCTTTAAAATGATGTCAGACTCAGGAAAACGTCCTTCACATGTCCTTATTAAAGAAGGCCGAGAGGGAGACGTCGTGTTCTGAGACA